GAGAGAGAGAGAGAGAGAGAGAGAGAGAGAGAAAGAAAACAAATCTCCAACCATGTGGCTGGCCTCATGCTACTTCCATTGATAGGATGAACGAAATGGAATGAATCTACCGGTAAAACATGAAAATATACACTGCCACACTTGTTTTTGTGTGTGTGTGTGTGTGTACGCGAGAGAGAGAGAGAGAGAGAGAGAGAGAGAGAGAGAGAGAGAGAGAGAGAGAGAGAGAGAGCAAACTCAAATGAATCTACCGTTAGAACATGGAAATATACATTGTGCACATGCGCGCAGCACACCGGACGTGCGCAGCGCACACTGCGCAGCCAGATGCGTGGCGCACGCACCCTGGGTCTGCGCACAGCGCACAGTGCCGGTGCGCCGCAAGTATGGGTATTACATAACGCACGTCTCCTCCTCCTCCTCCTCCTCCTCCTCCTCCTCCTTCTTTATCTTCATTTGCTCCTCCTCCTCTGCAGACAAATGACGTTTTGGCAATATCTTTGAAACTTCGGGAGTCACATGATTGATGTATGCTGCGCTTAAGCCTGGTGAGATTTCTGGCACTCGCAGAGCAATGGGTCTTGGGTTAGCGTTGACGTTCTGTGGACCCTGAATCTCTGGAAGTACTTCTCAATTGCTTCATTTCTGGGTGGTATGCGCTGTACTGTGCAGGTTTCGGGAAGACATAGTGACAGAGGCATTGACTGTGTGCTTCAAGGAACTAGGCCCGGCTTTCCTTGCACGCTTAGAGAAGGAGCTGACTGGAGGGATGTCATGGCAAGCCCTGGAGGTTGCACTCTTTGCTGCAGGAGCTGCCAGTGAAGTGATCTGTGCGGCGGCAGATTGTGCCACCACAAATGGAAGGCCAGCAGGTTTGGATTGGGAGTTCACAGAGCAGGACAGGATCCAAGCGACATCGTTCATATCAGGCCTTTTTGCGAACCTCCCAGGAGCAGCTGCGCTTATGGCCCGGGGTGAGTAGTGGGTTCGTTTTTGCTTTGGTGTTTGCAGTGCAGACTGTAGTAGGAGGAATGCGTGGAGAATATCCCAGTGCTGTCGGCCCTTAATTTCTCGTGGCATGTAAGGGAGCACTATTGTTGAGGTGGGGGGCCTTGCACTATGGTTTGGCCTGCTCTTGGTCTCTTGTGCAGTTCTATCTTGGACTCAGCTTGTGGGGCTTAGACCCAGAGTGAATAGCTGGAGCCGGTGGGCTTGGAAAGATATGGTCTTGCACTGATCGACCTTATCCTTGAAAATAATCAAATATGATGGGGACAAAATGATGTGGGATGTCATAGCATACATGCATGGCGCCATGCCAACTGGCTTAGCTCAGTTGGTACACCCTTGAACTGTTGAAATACAGACATGAGTTCAAACTCCACTGAGAGCAGATGACTAAAATGCTACAATTCTGAACTACATAGGGCCGGTCCGCTCCATAATGATATCTCAAGGCCGTTGCCCTTTCTGAAACAAGAGAAAGGAAAAGTAAATGCATAAGTGCGACTGCTCAGCCTCCGCTTTGTGAAATTGAGCCCCCCACTTCTAATTCACTTCGCTACTCACAATGAGAATGACTCACCGTCTGCTATTAAACCGCCAGTACCTTTGAGCTGCCCCCACCGGACCAGTCTGCGGCCAGTGCCCGGTGCTCTCGAAGGGCGGGCCGAAAAAAGAGCTGTGGCTGCTTGCTTTTTTTTTTTTGGGGGGGGGGGTCCTAGAAAGGAGAAGAGTCGGAAAGCACTCATTCAACAAGGCTCTGATATCGTGCGCACAGGCCCTAGACTCAGTCTACTTGACTGTTGCCCGCCTAGACCTAGCCTACCACCTACCGGGCCTCTAAAAATGCCAACTTTGTCTTCTTCTGCTCGGCCTCCAGTCCCGGACAAATCCACCACTACTTGAGTGGTACCGGGCCTACCGGCCTATGTGCTACTTGAGTGTTTTTTCCGCTGCAACCCTCAAAGTCACGGCCACAGGTAAGTACCGGCCCTCTTGGGACTTCCAAACAAATAAGTGCCCTGGCGGGCCACACACACACTTAGACGGACAAGCACTCAGGCAGGCACACAACCAGCAAGCACGCGCGCAAACACAGACTTGGAAAACTCAGTAGAACACAGGAATCTCATCAAGGCAATCATTCTGGCGGCGAAACTTAGAAATCAGGAGTTGGCGGGTCATTACATGAGTGGAAAAGGAGTCGTTATGCGACAGTTTATGACACAGTCCGCCGAAACAGTTTGGCACAGCCAATCCTTTTTTTTTGTGTGGAATTGTGTATACTAAACTTGACAGCACAACCACAATCAATGTGGCCAGCCTTGTACGTGAGAGGCACAGTAAAAAGGGAGCTGCGAGAACAAGTAGAAGGGGTACCCCAAAGAAGGCCAAAGTGAAGAAAGTCAAGAAATGGATATAACGAATCTCTTCTGCCCCATGTTGGTTGCTATAGATGTAAACTGTTTCATTGTTGGAATGGCTCATCTCAATCTGCTGATTCTGCTCCGTGTAGCTTGCTATAGAGGTAAGCTGTTTCATTGCTGTGCTTCATTGTCTGGAATAGAGGTCAAGCGTCATGGTCTTTGGATCTACTCATCTGGGTGGCATAGGGGCTGTTGTGTTGAATATCTACAGCAGAGAGAGAGAGAGAGAGAGAGAGAGAGAGAGAGAGAGAGAGAGAGAGAGAGAGAGAGAGAGAGAGAGAGAGAGAGAGAGAGAGAGAGANGAGAGAGAGAGAGAGAGAGAGAGAGAGAGAGAGAGAGAGAGAGAGAGAGAGAGAGAGAGAGAGAATGGTGTTTGGTCTTCGACACACAATGACATTGAGGTCCCTAGCTCCACTGAAACGACGCGTAAGTGGGGCCAGTACACGCGGCCTGTGCCGGTTAACACCTGTTGGGGTCAGGTTCAACCTACGTGGTGAAAAAAACGGCAGCCACCAGTAGGTCGTCGCTGCGCTGTGGTTTGGTCGCCCACTAGCATTGGGAAACGGAGGCCTGGCCGTACTCGTGGTCTAAGGCCACTGGTTCTGTTTTGCGGTCATCATATGAATTCGAATGACAGTTGTTGTGTATGGGGAATGCTGTGATTTGGCTAAGTGGTGATCAAAGATGAGCTGGTTGTCGTTACATTTTTTCAATTTTTTGCCTATCAATAAAACAGACGGGTGTACGAACGAGTTGCAGCAGGGAGAGGGACAGGTCAGTGATCTCTGAAATTGACAAAATTTTGCCTGAAATTCTGCCATGCGCAGGGACTGTGCAACAGCAGCAGCAAATGTGCCCGTTCATATCTGTCAGAGGATCTGGTACCGAAATCGATGTAGGAGTGCCATAGAGTCCTCTATTTTTGGTTTTGTCCTTCAGCGCATCTGTTAAATTGAGCGGACAAAAAAATATTAGCATGACCCCTGCTCAACGATAAAACACACGGATCGAAAAATTGCTCAAAAAGTGTCACAAGGGCAGGGCTGATCTGTTTCTTACTCTCTTTGCTCTTGTGCTCGTATGTCTTGTGACAACATGCTTGCCGGTAATAAGCAACCGGACTGACGCTCTGCAGAATAGAACGGGCAGTAGAAGCTATTAAAAAGAAAAAAAAAAAACTTTCAAAGGGGGAGAAAAAAAGAAGAAGAAAATAAACCTCTATTGGGGCCCAGACTCTTTTGAACAGGACAAGAACTCAGTAATTTTGATTCTGGAAAACAGAAGCAAGTGGCTGTGCAAGTAACAAGCCAATAGATACCGAAAAGGGCGCATTAATTTTGAAGTTTGAACTGTGGCAATCAATTTCAGCTCATGAATGCGGCAACCTGGTCTCAGTGAACCAAAAGTAGGCCATGGACTTGGATCAACTAAATGATAAGGATGCTTTTGAGAACTCGTACTCATTGCTTCGCTCCTTTGTTTTTTAGTCTAGTGTTGAGACCCTTTGATCTGACGTGATCGGTAACCTGTGTTGGTTGAATCATTTGCCGCAGATAGATCAAATGCACCAGCACCGCTTATGGTGTCATCTGCGCTGCAGGCCATAGAGAGATTTGCCGGACGGGCTGTGCTGGGCAAAGAGATGCTCGAAGCAGGTGTGACGTATGCAGTGAATGCTTTGCATCTGTCTGAGGGTGAGTGTGCGTGGACCTACCTTCGCTATTCGAATTCCAGAACTTGTTATTGCTATGCAGTGTATGCAGCTATGTTACCAGGCCAGACATGTGGTAGATCCTGAGGTATCAAGGTCCAGATCCAGATGTCCCAACTCTGGACAGACAAAGTATTATTCTCTGGCCGAGGGGTCGCCTCAAAATTCTTCAATCAAATCCAAATGAAAACCAAATGGAAAAAGGAAATTTTGATGCACGGTAATGCACCTCTTTAGCCCCCTTCGAACTCCTCTTATTCCCCTCCCATGCTCATGGAATCCCAGATGCACTTTTTGGAACGAGAAATGTAATCCATGAATGCGACAGATGAAACAGAATGGAAAAAAGGGAAATTTTGATGCACGGTAATGCACCTCTTTAACCCCCATTTAACCCCTTTTATACTCCTCCAGATGCTCATGGAAGCCCATGTACACTTTGTGCCAGTTTGTGGAGAGAGAAATGTAATCCATGAATGTGAACTACCTCTTAGAAATGCTCATAAGATTTCAAAACACAAAATTTGAGGATCGTTGTGATGAGAAGAGAAGCTAATAGTTAGGCAACACACACAAACTGAGAGGCGGGATGAGACAATCTGGCCGTTCACAGCACATCGAATATCGCACTTGACTGCGATTGGAAGCAGCCGGTGAGATCCCGACCATCAGAGGGCGGAGAACACTATCGGGCCATCCATTTACTGGGGCATCCATTTACCGGGGCATCCATTTACTGGGGCATCAACTCTCAACGGCGACGACGAGCAACTACCGAAGAGAAGGACGACAAGAATCTACAGCAGAAAAGACTTAGATCCTCAAGCCTAAATCTACCGAAGAGGAATCTAAGGCGACGACGAGCCCTAGGCAAAGTAGTCCTTTCTAATTACGGAAAAGGCGCTACCCGGGCTGGCGAATTCCTCTATGGGACACGGCGTCCGACCGACAGAGGGCGGAAAACACTATTTGGCCATCCATCTACTAGGGCATCATCTCTCAACAGCGAGTAGCTACTGAAGAAGAGGATCACGACAAGAATATCCAAAGCAGAAGAGACTTAGATTTTCAAGGCCTGAATCTACCGAAAAGGACAGAATCGGAAGCAACGAAGAGCCCTGGACAAAGTAGGCCTTTCCAATTACGGAAAAGGTGCTACTCGGGTAGCCTAATTCCTCTACGTGACACGCAAGGCCCACTACAGCAGTACATCTTCTCAAATGTGTCGTGGTAGATCAGATAGGGGCCGCACTTCCTGTGAACAGTTGGCTACACATCAGAAGACAAAAAAACGACCCGAACAGTTCAGATCTCTGTGAAGTATGCTCAGATAACGAACAGGAAACCATCACAMMCTGCCTAATCACATGCAAGGAAGCTACCGAGTATTGGGCAAGAGCAGCTGCTCTCTGGAACTACCTGTTTCCTTCTCCTTTCCCCGAACACCCAATCCAGATACTTCTATGGACTAACACCCCTACTAACTTTAACAAGTCGGAGAGCATCTGGTATGGCATGATTCGAAAGGTGACAATCTGGGTCATATGGAAGGAAAGATGCACCAGAACGCTGGATAACTCCAGTAATCCACGTGAGAAGGTATGGGCAATGACCAAATCCTTAATGGAAACTGAAGTCCTCTCCCAATGGAGGAAAGTCAGGGCTCAAGCTCAGGAAAATCAGGAGAAACAGCAAGAGATTCTGGCGAAATTCACAAAAATACGGCTGGTCAACGGAAAGGTGGCGTTCATTCAAGGTCTCCAACTCAGGTGGAACGACTGGCACAACTCCTGTCTGCTGCAGAGTGTACGGAGCACTCACCTCTCTCAGCCTCAGGGCTTCAGCACTACATAGTCCTGACAGACGACCAGGAAGGACACTTATGAATGACCAGGGCTACAACGATCAAGATATACAGTMAACTTCTCGCAGGGTTTCCCGCGTTTAAGTGCATCTGACAGGGTCTCTGATGGAGACATTGAGAGGCAGCACAGGGAAAGACAAGGAAACAGATGACAATCTCCACAGTATTGCAGCTGAGGGTTTAGGGGTTAGGGTGTAGACGGAAGCAACAAAAGGAATATGTACGGGGGTTGCTGAGTAGGTTTGGTCACAGTGGTCCGGAAGTAAACGAAGTCTAGCCAGCTCCCAAGGTCGACTTTTCAGAGGAGAGGAGCACAGGCCGAGGGCTTAGGGTTTAAGGCCTTTTGGTCACTCATCCCAGGGGGTAGGGAGGAGTGTGAGGAAGGAACAGGTCGGCATGGACAACGGATGAACTCTTCCTAGGGTCAAAGGCGTTATCTGGCAGATCTGGAGTCCAGGTCTGAGAGGGAAGAGAGGGTCAGGGCAAGCTGACAGTCAATCCTCCACTGTGGTGGAGTAATCAATGCTGTTCAGGGGTCCCTCGGCCGGACGGAAGGAAGCGTGCGTGAGTTTTCCATCGATGTAATGTTTCTTTTGACTTGCCGGTGGAATAGGAACCGGACTGTCGCYCCCCAGAATAGAAGGAGCTAGGACCATAAGGCCCTGTTTAAAAAAAAAAAAAAAAAAAAAAAAAAAAAGAAAAGAAAAGAAAAGAAAAGAAAAGAAAAAAAAAAGAAAGATCAGATAGGGGCCGCACAGAGGAGTGAACCTTTCCGACAACCGCGTCCAGAGTGATACAGGAACGAATACTCTCCACCAAACGAAACCCTGCCTTGGACAACGGGGAGGGCGAGAGCAAGGGCGAAATAAGATTATATTGAAGTGAGGCTCCGTTCAATTTCAGCCAGCTGAGGCTTCGATCGTGCGACCACCATCTCAAAGCCAACGGCAACTGTCCAATCCAGCTACTACGAGTGTGATCGTGACGTGAGGCATTCTTCGACACCCCCCCCACCCCCGTCAGCGGACCAATGTTCTCTCCTTTTTCATGCTAATCACTTCTACTCTCACGCCCCACTCTACCTCTGTCTGCAGCCTAGTATCACCCATCTTGCTAACTTCACTACCATCCCACCACCTCACCCCCTGTTCTTCCCATCATCCCCTGGCCTTTTTTTTTTTTTTTTTATCGTGCGTGGCCAGACCGGATCTTTCCCCCTTGTAATCCCTCTACTCTCCCACGGCCTCTACTTCTCCCCTCCTCTAGCTCACAGATTGCCTCCATAACACTGTCCCGTAGTAACAAGGCTCTGCTCTATACGAACTTGGCAAGACCCCCACAGGGCTGCCAAGGGTATACAGTCGATCCTGCTTCAACACAACGCACATGGGTAGTTCCAGTGAAGGCCGCAAAGCAGCCCCTTTTAAACAGGCAGTACAAAACAACACTCGTGTGTCCAAGAATCAACAAGTGGGAAAGACAACAATGAACATCATCGATAATGAAGCTTTAAAATTCCTGATTGAAAAAACAAAAGTTGAAGGAGAGGTAATTACAGAGAAACAAATAACAGAAGGGAAGGAAGAAGAAGTGATCGTGTGGAAATACCCCGATGGGAAGGTGTCTGAAATGGATGACTTAGCATGAGAGGCATGGGGTGGTTTTCAACTTTGCTCGTAATGGAGCGAATCTCATGCCGACGGAAAAAAGGAAGTGGATTATAGCGACAATCAAAAAAGAAGACAAACTCAGGCACATTGGAGAAGCCTTTTCCCTTCAGAACCTGGGTCGAACCAACGTCATGGTTCTCTTTAATCACAAAGATCATGCCCGGATCGCTGCAGAAATGCAGTCTAGGAATTGCAACGGCTCCATCTGCACGATAACCAAATGGAAGAAACAATCGGTCCATATTACTCCATAAACAAAATCCCACCTTCACTGTTTCCTACAAACAAACTCTGATGAAAAAGAATTTTTGGGTACATTTTGATAACATTCAATCGGGTTTCCATGGTCTCTTGGTGGACAAACTGGAGAGGCAATATCCAACGAACAAAATTCTCAAATGGATCCTGCCAACTCCGGACTTTCTGGAACCCCACTGCCAGCTCCATGACTGCTTTGTTGGAGGTCAAAACGGACGATCCCCCTGTTTTCCCCCATACCTGGAAATTTTAGATTGAAACCAGGGTGCAAGAAATTCGAATCTCTACCAAAGCATCACCAATCTGCTTCAGATGCAGGGAGCGCGGTCACATGGGAACAGACCCAACTGTCTGAAGTTTCCATCACAACAGAGGGAACGAAAACTTCACCCAAACATGCTGGTGGAAGATGAGGACGCCCCGGACGCATGTGTTATCGTCGACTCCAACTACGATGGTTGGGTGTTTGACCATAGCTTGGATGATCCGGACTGGGTTTGGCACTATACAGACAACCCTCGGTCAAAAAAAACAACGTCGTCCCCCCGACGGACAACAGATGGCGAAAAAAGGCAACGGGCAAAGTTACTGAGAATCCGACAAAGATCAATACTAATCCAGCGATCGACTCTCGGGTGGTTAGAGAAGAGAAAGCAAGGGAAGACCTGTTGTGGGACCTGGACTCAGTCCGGGAGCAGGCAGAACAGGCAGAATTAGAGTACTGCAAGGAACCTGCAACACTTCAAGAAATGCTCAAAATCATGGAGCAAGAGGATTTTCAGAAATCAACCAAGGCACAAACAGATAACAAATGTATGCTGGACTGCGGAGACTCACAGGGGAAGACTGAGGTGGGTCTCAAGAGAAGGAAAGTAACAGAATCAGAGGAGACACTGGGAGCAGACCAGCCACCAGCAAAGGGACAAAAGGGAAACACAGATTACAGAACTGACATGAAGGACAGCAAGGATAGCAATGGCAACAGGGTCAGCGAGGGTTCCGATAAGCCCGCCACGGCGAGCGGATCTGACTCTCAAAGATCACTTCAATGGCTAAGGGAATATATCGAAAAGGCCAAAAGGGAGAGAGTGCATGCCTTCAACATCAGAACAGCATGCCTCAAGCACATTGAAAGATCACAGGGAAAGGGAGCAGTTGCTGGCATTCAAACATCAAAGAATCAAATATGAAATGCTAAAAAAGGCGGACGGATTCTCTGAATACACGACTCTCAGATACGTAGAGAAGAAGAGGGCGAGAACAAGGGTTGACCGATAACGACAAGACAGTTCTCAACACAGATGAATCATTCCTGGATCTGCGTCCAAAGAAATGGAAGACAACAAAAAATCAAAAGAAGAAGGAACCTAACGCAAATCAAGCAGCGGTTGAAGAGGAATCAGCTCGATCACAACTGGAAAAGGAAGTGGCGGTAATAGTGGCCCAACCTGAGAAACTTAGGACACTAAATGTGGCATACACCCCTGAGTTCACCACTATTCAACACATAGCTGAAGTCAAGGCACCTCATGTGGTGGCGTCAGCCAAATCAGCGAGACTGATCCTCATGGGCACTCGCCCGCTGATCACGGCCTGATATATGGAGAAGGAGAACGAATGGCAGATTGCCACACATAGATGAAGGACAGAATGTGGCCAACATTCTTAAGGAAAAAGTCTCTGAGGGGTTCCCGCTGGCGTTTTTTGAGACAACAGATCCATATGCCTACCCAGAGGCCAACTCCTCCCGATCAGACCAACGGGATCAGCAAGACCACCAAATGGAACTGGAGAGGCATTCACCTTGCACTTTCTCTCCTCTGATTGCGAAAATGCCAGGGAAGACAAAACTGAAGAGCGGTACGATGTGGAGACCGTGGAGAACTGTGACAACGATTCTGTACAGAGTGCTGGCGGGGCCTGGAATTCCGGCGGAATTGCTAACGACCTTGGTGGCAGACCTCTTGAGATCTGGCATTCTGAACGAGGATAGGGACTTGCAGTCGAGAGCTTTCGCTGTAGATCTGGACAGATACTACAGGGACGATGGGTCTGAGGAGGATATGAACGACTAGTACGAAGAGGAGGATGTCCTGAGGCCAGATCTGCCCCTAGGACACGAAGGCTGTGGTACCGAGGGGGAATATAAGATAGACGACTCGGTAGGCAAGACACGGCAGGACCCGCTGGGAGACATGTCAACAACGATGGATGCCAACGATCAGACCACTACCTAGGGCGATATTTACCACATCCCAAGCCACATCCCCCTTCCTTTCCCTCTACAATGGAGGTCTTTAGACAACGGGCAAACGCAAAGGAAGGTAAGGTGGATTGGAAGACACAAGGAATAATCATTTGAAGTTGGAATATCAACGGTTTGGGGAACATTATGGACAACGAAGAGAAGATGAATGACATAATCAAAGGAATCACGGACTACACAAAGAAACCTGCAGACATCATAATGTTGCAAGAAACTCACCTCACCTTTTCATTGGAACACAACAGAATCAGGAAATTCTTTACAAGGAAACTGAGAGGAGTTAAGGATGAAATCTGGTCCTCAGATAATTCCTCCAGCACAAAAGGAACGGTCATTCTCATACCTAAATCATTCCTTTTCTACAAGGCAGGGTCTGTAACGGGCATAGAGGCAGACACAGAAGGGGGAAGGTGGTGCCTCATGGATCTGAAATGGAACGACGAAGAATTTAAACTGTTGAATGTCTACACACCCAACAACCGACATAAAGGGCAGCCTTCATAACGGACATAGGTAGACTGCTCCCACCATTGACATCATGTATTCTAGCAGGTGATTGGAATGCAACCCCAGACCCACCTGTGGATCATATATCCAGATCATCAGCGAACCAATCATCACAGGAGGCGATTCCCATTCAAAAATTGATGGTCGACCACAATCTGGTGGAACCTTTCCGCACTTTACATCCGGGAAAGAGAGCCTATACCCTGGTGAAAAAGAATCATGCCCAACTTATTGCTCTCTCTTTCATCGATTACTTCTTGTTATTAGAAACTATGATGGGCGCAACCAAAAGTGTGGAGATCATGCCTCTGGCACCCTACGCGGGCCTGGACCACAAACCAATCGAACTATCCTTAGCTTTGGACAGTTCATTAAAAAAGGTTGTAGCTTTCACAAGCTAAATAACTCCCTCCTTTTGAGCCAGACCTTTCAGGCGGGTGTTCAAAAATGCTGGCAGAACTCGAGAAGAGGATAACTATCCAATCAGGACAGGTGGCAGTGGTTTCAAGATAGTTACCTCACTCTATCTCAGACAGTGGCTAAAATTTCAAGGAAACTAGCCAATGATAGAAAACAAGGAAACAGACACTGGAAAATGCTCTTATGATATCCGAAATGAACCTGATTGATAACCCGTCTTCTGGGCTCTAAAGAGACATCTTCGAAAAAGCGAGAGAAGAACTGGCGATATGGAGATGGTGGGAGTTGAAACGCCTGCAAGTGAGAGCAAGGATGAATGAATACGAACTAAGCGAATCAATGACTAAACACTTCTTTGCAAGAATAAAAGCGAATGCAAGGTCTAGTTCAATCGAAGGCCTGAAAACACTCACAACAACACCTGAAATAACTACAGACAGCTTGGGAATGTTGAACATAGCAAAGGAATTCTACGAGGACCTCTACCACACAAAGACTCCCACACCTACCCCTCCGAGCACTCGAGAGGCACGGAACATGATGTTACAGTATCTAGACAAAACGATTTCTTCAGAATAAGCACAACCTCTTGATAGGCCAATCACAATCGAGGAACTTCAAGCCACAATTCAAGCATGAATAACAACAAATCACTAGGAATAGACGGACTGACGAAAGAATTTTGGGAAAAGTTATGGCCACTCTTGGAGGCGATCCGCTGAACTTTTACAACTTTAGCTGGTCCAAGGGCGGTTTAGGAAACCTGATGAGTAGTAGTGTAGTTACGCTATTGTATAAGAAAGGGGAAAAGGAAGATATAAGTGCAAGGAAGATGAGCAATAGCGAACTTCAGCAATCAAACAGCATCATATTCAGAAGACCAGATAGTCGTGACCTCGAACCAACAACAGAATTGCATCACGAGTTTCACCAAATAAGAAGACACCAAGAGCTCAAAATTGACAATGATGGTAATGTCTCATCCTCATCATCAATGAAGAACCAATGTTGATATCCTATCTGGCGTTCGGCGCCCAGACTACAGATGGCAGATCCTATCTAGCCTAAACTACAATGCCGAAAGATGACGTCAACAACTTTCCCGAAGTACGAGCATATAGCGACCAATGTCGCATGCTTCCAGCACCAGGTATGTCTCTCGCCACACTCACAACTTCGTTCCCCAACACACAAATGCCACTTGCACCCAAGGACCACCCTGCGCCACACCCAGCTTACAACAGCGCAGCTCGGCTATGGCTGCTTGCTCCTTCCCCTGCTCGCCCGTGAGCGTGTAGGCGCCAGCCAGCAAATAGCGCAGCATGCAGCCGGCACCCGAATGCCGAATGAGGAGGCAGGCCCTTTGCTATATCGAAGTGGCCTGCCTGCGTCCAGTCCCAGGAAGCTTCCAGTAGGCCCCGGTAGCCTAAGGCCCAGCACGATCGAGAACAGGCCTGGGGCCTGTGGTAGTTTTATGTGCCCAACTGCCTTTGGCATGTGTTTGGCTCAATACCCGTATCCAGCCCAGGGCCTGCTTTCCATTCATCCACACAGGCGGCCCAGGGCCTAGGTTTCCTCAACCAACTGGCGCTGCGCAACTGCCTGAATTTCCTTAGTTGTGCAGAGGCCGAAATAAGACCCTGAAGGCCTCGTCGAGCCTGCCTTCACTTAGGGCGGCCGACGGGCTGCAAGAGAGGGGCCGAAAGGGGCTCATAGAGGCAGTGGCCTCACATTACTTCCTCCTTAGCTTCAACAGTCCTCTGAGAAGCTCAGTCTTCGACCATCGGGGCTTTCCTTTCTGCAGAGATTTCTCATAATGAGCTACAACTTGAGGAGCGGTCTGCATGAGTTCTTCCCTCGTGAACCAGTGGTCCTCCTTGGGATCAGTATGATGTCGGAACCGAATGTGGTACTGCAACTTCGGTTTCGGAGGACGTCCTCTGCCTGTAGGTCTCTGAACTGGCAGCTCCCTGTGATCCACGATGTCATCAATGTCCACTTCTCCATCCATGGTTGGGGGCAGCATTGAGGGATGAGAAGGAAACTCGTCTGTTTCCTTGAAAGGTGCAAGCTTGGAGGCGTGAAAGACAGGGTAAGTTCGGAGATGACTAGGGATCCGGATAACATAAGATGGCCCATCCGGATCTGTCCCAACGATGTCCAAGACTTCCCAAGGTCCAAAGTACTGGGCATGAGTTTGCGGGAAATCCCGTGCTCCTGTCCCAGTTCTGAAGACTTAACCCAGACTTTGTACCCAGCCTAAAACGTAAAAGGACGGAGGTGTCTATTTTTAGACTCTATCATTGCAGCTTGTGCCTTCTGCATCTGTTCTACAGCCATTCTAAGGTACCTGGTGCAGCAGTGGACTGATTCTAAGGAAGGAAGTCTAAGGGCAGTCTAGGCTTGAAAGTTAGCAGTAAGCTGTTTGGGCTCACCCCGGTGGCGCTGTGTACAGCGTTGTTGTACAAGCTGGCGATGAGAGCAAGCTTCTCATCCCAGTCCATCTGGTTGGGCTTGATGTAATGCCTCAACAGGTGTTGTACAGCGCGGTTCAGTTGCTCGGCCTGACCGTTGGCCTCTGGGTGATTCCCAGAAGTCATCTGCAACTGAGTTCCCTGCTCTGCAGCAGCGGCTTCCACAACTCGCTGGTAAACCGGGCATCCCTGTCATTGATAATAGACTTCGGTAAACCAAAGTCCTTGACCCAGTTCTCTTTGAACATCCTGATCACATACTCCGTCCTTGCTGTTTCCAGCATTGCTACTAACCTAGCATACTTACTAAATCTATCCACGATGACGAAAATGTGTTGCATCCCACTCTTGCTGGTGACCAGAGTATCCATGAAGTCCATGGACAGACTCTCACCAGGCCGTTCTGGAATCGGAAGGGGCTTCAGTAGCCCAAGAGGAGCCTGAGTACGCGGCTTGTCCCTTTGACAAACCTGACAAGTCTCCACGTACAGCTGGGCGTCTCGCATCATCGTGGGCCACCAAAACCGCTGCAGCAGATTGGCTGCGGTCTTCTTATACCCAAAATGGCCGGTGGCGTCATGGCACTTTCCTAAAATCAAACTACGCAAAGACTCGCTATTCGGGACACACAAACGCTTATTCCCTGCCTTCTCAAGGAACAGCAAGCCGTTGACCAATTCAAACTCGGCAGAAGTTTTTTTGTCCTTCGCCTCTAGTCTGCGTATGATCTCAGACATAAACTGGTCCTCTCGATAGGCTTCCACCAAAGAGCGAGTAACATCGTCTGTCAGATCGAACTCATTACTCAACGCACCTGAGAAGTCAGGTCTATGCGACAAGGCATCAACAACCTTGTTGTACTCCCCTTTCAGATACTGAGGGTCAAAGTCATATTGCTGAATGACTTCGATCCAACGCTTCAGAGCGTCAGAAAGTACCGGCTGGGTTCTCATCCATCTCAGACTCTCAGTGTCTGATGATCAGTCCTGAGGATGAAGAACCTCCCAAGGAGAGTGTCTCCAATGGGTCAGAGCCTTGTACACCGCATAGAGTCCCTTCTCATAGGTTGACTTTGCCAACTTCTGAGACGACATTTTCTTAGACATGTACTCGACTGGCCTTAACTTTGGCCCCTCCTGCTGCGCAAGCACGGCGCCAATGCCATATTGGCTGGCATCCGTTGTAACTATAAACGGCTTATCAAGATCAGGAAGCTTCAAGACCTCATAGTGCATCAACGCATGCTTCAGATGTCTGAAAGCAGCCTCGCACTCATCTGTCCACTCCCATGGGGTATCAAGGCGGGTCAAATCAGTCAAAGGAGTGGCCACTATGCTATAGTTCTTAACGAAAGTCCTATAGTAGCCTGTCATTCCTAAGAAAGATCTCATCTCAGTCACAGACTGAGGACGTGGCCAATCACGAATGCTGGTCACCTTCGCGTCATCGGGCTTTAACACTTCCGCGGATATCTCATGGCCCAAGTACAAGACACGGGTGCGGCCAAACTCGCATTTCTCACCGTTGATCTTGAACTTGTGTTGTCGTAGGAGACTGAGGACTTTGTCCAAATGTGCAACATGCTCCTCGACGGTCTTACTAAAAATAAGTATGTCATCGAGGTACACGATGACAAACTTATCCAAGTAGTCATGGAATATCCGATTCATAGCGTGCTGAAAGGTGTCAGGAGCATTGCAAAGGCTGAAAGGCATCACCACAAACTCGTGCAGACCGTACCTGGTATGAAAAGCGTTTTTTTTTTTGTGCTGATCCTCGGGCCGGACTGCGATCTGATGGTACCCGGACTTCAGATCTATCCTACCGAAGTACCGACACCCTTGCACTCTATCTAACAGATCATCGATGCGCGGTAGGGGCTCTCTGTTCTTAACAGTGATGGCATTGAGGCCTCTATAGTCAATGCACATCCTAAGTGTGCCCTCCTTCTTCGTAGGTGCGAATAGTACTGGAGATCCATAAGGAGAGACACTCGGCTGGATCCAACCCTTCTCTACGAGTTCCTTGAGTTGTCGGTGAAGCTCATCAAGCTCGCCTGGAGACATTCGATAGATCCTACCCTTCAGGATGCTAGACCCTGGGATAATCTCTATCGCGTGGACGACTCCCTCTCTACAACCCCTGTCGGCTCTTCAAATAGATCAGGGTACTTGGCAACTACTCCCTCTATCTCCGGCGGCATTTTCACCGGCTCGCCTGCAGCAGAGACATAAACTAAGTACATACCCTCCTCCTGATTTTGCTTATAATAATTGTAGAACGCGGCTGCACACATGCACCCGTAAGACTCAATCAGACTACTAGCTTTGAACTTACGTAATCTGGCGGTCCCTCCACCTGGCAAAGTGTGTTTGACCACTTTTCGGTCCCAGTCAAAATGGGGCTGTGCCACAGAGAGGTAGTATATACCTTACAACATATCCATGGGGAGTTCATAGCTCAATAGGAATGAGACGCGATGTCTCAGTTCTCCTCCTGCGTACGGGAAACAACACTCCACATCTTGGAGGTAGTCATTGACTACCATGCGCTGTTTGTTGGCACAGGTCGACTCCACAGGTCGACTCAGGCGCTGCACTTGCCCCTGTAAGCGTAGCCTCTCAACGCACGTGCGACTAATAAAGTTCCTAGTCGAGCAAGTGTCATAATAGGCCCTGGCCTTGCGGCCGCTAATGACCACCTCGCTGGCGAACATCTCACCCTTCGGGACTTTAACTAGGGCCGTCCAAGAAGCTAGCGGGTATGATCTAGACCACTCCACCTCTAGCTCCTCTAAGGACTCAAACACATTCATCGAACAGAGGCTCGATGGGTCTGAACGTGTTTGCGGGACGACGCTGGAGTCAGTAGCTTGGGCCATCTCTCGAGATGGTGAGGGTGTCTCCACCACCTCGACCCTAGCAGGAACAACTACTATTCCTACTGGCCCGTTGTGTTTCCCGGAGCAGTGCCTGAAGTGCTGGCAACATTGCTACCAACGGGATGGGAGGATCCTACCGCCTGCCCCATCATAGGCGGGATCTTGTCGGTCACCTTCTTGTTACGGCACTTGAACTGATTATGGCCATATTGACCACAACGAATACAAGCTTGCCGGGTGTACCGGTCTCTCCACACGTCCTCAGTGAGACCCACTTTCTCCCATGGAGGAGCATTTGGGTCAACTTGACTCCTAGACCGGGAACCTCCACGGCGTCTACCCGTCGCCTTACCTTTCTGAGTTACAACAGCGATTACTCCACCCCCTGAAGCTTCTACGCTGCCTGCCTCTGCACCTACTCCTTCCTGGAAGTTGTCGTCTAACTCAATGGTAGAACCATCGTTATTGACAAACATAATGCGCCCTTTCGCCTTCCAGTTAGGAGGCAGTGTCTTCCTCCTCCCGTCTATAGTGGGTGCATGTCCATGCCCTATCGTCGCCTCAAGGTCTAGGGCCTTCTTGCTAAACGAAGGAAAGTTGTGGATATTGATGTTGGCCTCACCTGCCAACTGGTTCCTGAGAGGCAAAGAGAAGCATCTCAGGTAGGAGGTGAGTAGTACCTGGGGGTCATAGCGCACCCCTGGGGGACAAATCAGACGCTCAACAGCGTCCGTGGCTTCCCTTACTGACTTGAACTGCCGTGTGTGCAGTGTCAGGGTCGCGTCAGTGGCCCTTTGGGCCTCCTGAGGATCATGCCACCTTTCCTCCACCAGCTTAAGGAAGTCATCCAATTTCTGGGGGACCGCCCAAGCGCGAAAGTCATGACCATACCCCTGGAGCTGCACTAAACCACTCAACCATCTTGCTGCACTACCCTCTAGGTAGGAGGCAACCACAAGCACTTCTTCGTGCGGCAAGGTAAGTTTACACCTAACATAGACTGGCACTGCCCTCAACCACGTGTCGAGGTCTTCGCCCCTCTTATCCGCTGTGAAGGGTTTGGGAGCGGCGATGGCCGTCTTTGGAACCCACTGTGTTTGTCGTGGTCCCTGCATCACTCCGGGCTGTGGACCCTGTGACACAGGTTGCTGTGCTAGCTGCTGGGGCTGTGTGCCCTGCGGCTGCACAGTCTGCGAGACAGCAGGCTGCATGGTGACCGCAACCTGCAACAAAGATTGGGTGAACATTGTCTGTATAGGAACCTGCAAGCTAGTTCCTGCTGATACCCCTCCTGAAAGCGGCATGCCCAGGGAAACGATCGCGACCAATGAAGGGGCTACATATGGGGATACCCCAGTCACCGGTGGGACAAAAGGAGGAGGATGTACAACGGGCCAGGCACCAGGCCCGGACATTGGCGACGTTGCTGGCGCTCGCCCAACCAACAGGGCGAGACTCTGCGGGATGTCCTGAAGGATGGTTGTTTGCTGGTCCTGCATCTCCACGACATTCAGCAGGACAGACCGAATGATCCTCACATCATCCGTTACGTGCGTCAGGTCCATCTCCTCTAACTCACTAACGTCCGCTTCTCTCCGCAACATCCTGGCTCTTCTTCTAATTATCCTTTCTTTCTCCGCTTTTATCTGTCCTAATGCATGCTGTGGCTGTGCCTCCTGCAGGGCTGCCTGCTGTATGGCGATCTCGTTGGAGGTCAACACTAATGGCTGGCTTGCCATTACGCCAGTGGACTGACTTTGGGTCTGCGCGACTTTTGACCCGACAGATCCTGAACTACCGGTCTGAGAAGTTTGTTGCGCAGAAGTAGCCATAGCTTCTGAAGCTGTGGCTTCACTCACAAGTGCCCTGCTAGCCTCTGCTGCTCTAGCCCTCCTCTGCTGCTGCAACCTTTCTCTACGCTGGCGGAACAGATATCTGTCACCCTCTGGACCTAATGCCAAATGGGCTACTGGGCGCCTTGCCGATCGCAAGATTCGGTCGTCCTCTCTAGTGTCCTCCTCGTCGCTCATAAGCTACAGCACTGTACACAATCTGCACTAATGCACACTGGATGCCTACCGCAGCGTAGTGCACAGACCAACTAATTAATTGGTTGCTACTTCGGAGTAGATACACTGGGGGTCAACAAGTAAGTCAGATTCCTACAAATAAAACTATTTTTAGTTTGACTAGTCCGCAAACAGAAGCACCATGAACAAGAAACAGTTCTAACTAATGCTGTCTGTCAGATGTCAATGGCTGTACACCTAACTAACTAAAACATAAAAATAGAATCATTTGTGTGGATAGGGCAGCATGGAATTTTTCTCGAACTTATCACCTGAAATCTACCCCTCCCTTAGTTTCCCTGAGTATCACTTGACGTCAGCGTCCCTGAGCAATCCGGAGGCGTTGCGTGTCTAAAAGGTGTGTGTTCGCCCCACCCCTGTGCCCCGAGTATCTGCTGAGCTGGCCAGCCCTGCACTGGATTATCCTCGCGTGCAGCGAGCCGTACAACCATTGGCTGATCCAGAGGCAATTTGGCGTCCGCCCCCAAGTGACTCCAGGAATTATTTTACGTCGCAGCCGGACGGCAATCACAGCCAATGGTTCCCCTTCCGGCGCTTATTTAAAGACGCCTGGTCTCGTCTTCCATAGGGTTGGCCTGCCCTTCAACACCCATCTAACAGCGCAGCAAGCCGAACAAAGGACAAGCAGCAAAGCATGCGTGCTCTACTCCCGGTGGGTTGGCATTGTGACCGTGACCCAATGCTTCGTCCAGGGCCCTTCAGAAAGCTCCGCCCCTCTTCTCCCAGATGCTCCACGTGAACATTGCCAACTCTCAAGGTTGAGCGCACTCGACACCTCACAATGAGAGGACTCTCAAGAAGGAACACACAACCTCACGGTAAGAAGTGTCGAAGAGGGTAGATAAGGTTAAGAGCAACGTACCTCAAATAGCTGGCCCCAACCACAGAGATAATCTCACCAGATGACCTGATGGCGATTGCGATGACCATCGGCACAACCAGCATTATCTCGCCGTTCCACCTCAGCATCAATCGCACATTAGATAGTTCTCATCACACTGTTCAGACCACATTACCCCCACGTCGCCTTCCTGGCAATCCCCTCACCTCCTGGGTCGCCTATCACTCGTCTCCGCCCTCCTCACTACACACCACTTACGGCCAAACTCACGAAGCAGACCGCATGTATGTACCGCATAAGGCAGAAGACAAGCGCCAAATGAGCGCAATCGTACCACAGCTCTGATACCAAATTGCAAGGAAGATGAGCAATAGCGAACTTCAGCAATCAAACAGCATCATATTCACAAGACCAGATATTCGTGACCTCGAACCAACAGCAGAATTGCATCACGAGTTTCACCAAATAAGAAGACACCAGGAGCTCAAAATTGACAATTCTGGTAATGTCTCATCATCATCATCAATGAAGAACCAATGTTGATATCCTATCTGGCGCTTGGCGCCCAGACTACAGATGGCAGATCCTATCTAGCCTAACCTACAATGCCTAAAGATGACGTCAACAGCTTTCCCGAAGTACGAGCATACAGCGACCAATGTCGCATGCTTCCAGCACCAGGTATGTCTCTCGCCACACTCACAACCTCGTTCCCCAGGACACAGATGCCACTTGCACCCAAGGACCGCCCTGCTCCACACCCAGCTTACAGCAGCGCAGCTCGGCTATGCCTGCCTGCTCCTTCCCTGCTCGCCCGTGAGCGCGTAGGTGCCAGCCAGCAAATAGCGCAGCAGCGCTTGCGCAGCATGCAGCCGGCACCCGAATGCCGAATGAGGAGGCAGGCCCTTTGCTATATCGAAGTGGCCTGCCTGCGTCCAGTCCCAGGAAGCTTCCNTGCAGCCGGCACCCGAATGCCGAATGAGGAGGCAGGCCCTTTGCTATATCGAAGTGGCCTGCCTGCGTCCAGTCCCAGGAAGCTTCCAGTAGGCCTCGATAGCCTGAAGCCCAGCACGATCGAGAACAGGCCTGGGGCCTGCAGTAGTTTTATGTGCCCAACTGCCTTTGGCATGTGTTTGGCTCAGTACCCGTATCCAGCCGAGGGCCTGCTTTCCATTCATCCACACAGGCGGCCCAGGGCCTGGGTTTCCTCAACCAACTGGCGCTGCGCAACTGCCTGAATTTCCTTAGTTGCGTGGAGGCCAAAATAAGGCCCTGAAGGCCTCGTCGAGCCTGCCTTCACTTAGGGCGGCCGACGTCTGCAAGAGGGGCCGAAAGGGGCTCATAGAGGCAGTGGCCTCGCATAAGAAACTACAGACCAATCTCACCGCTAACTCTCCCTTACAAGATTCTGGCCAAAGCTCTAGCTTTCTGAATATTAGATCTGACTGGCAAATGCTTTCACATTGATCATACAGGTTTCATCCTGGGAAGGTATATCCTGGATAACGTACTCACGCTTAATGAATCAGCCAAAAAAGTCAGAGAGAAGAGGATAAACACAGCAATCCTCTTCTTCGACTTTGAGAAGGCCTATGATCAGGTACGTTGGGCCTTCCTCAACGCAAGTATGGAGAAGATGGGAGTGGGCACTAACTTCAGAAAGTGGGTGCGCATCCTGTTCAATGATGCCATGGGTTGTGTCGAAGTCAATGGTTTGCTATCAGCGAGCTATCCGATTTCACGGTCGGTTCGCCAGGGTGACCCTCTAGCACTGCCAATTTTTCTCTTTGTGATGAAGGCTATACCCTCTTTCTTGCGCAAAGACCCCTCCATTCACAGGTTACCAGAGGTCAACGTGGGTACCCCTCACCATCTGCAATTCCCGACGGTCATAATGTTTGCAGATGATCTGACGGTCCTCATCCGAGTGTCGGACTCGTCCTTTAGTGCTCTGGTTAGAGCCATGGAGGCCTTCAGACTAGCATCAGAAATGAAAATTAACTGGAAAAAAACAATTGGTTGGTGGTTGTCTGATGAGGCCACCCCTCAGCTCCAGGGCCCTGAGTCGGCCATGACGTGGGAGAAACCTGAGACACCTACACGATATCTAGGCTTACTAGTGACAAAAGATGGATTCGCCCCCAAATGGCTCAGAACTTACTCACAAACCAAATCAACAAACTGGGTAGATGGGGAAATACGTCTACGTCCCCGCTGGGCTGTGCGCTGACCATCAATACATCGATCTTTTCAATGATGTGGTACATATTATCAATCTGGACAGTACCGGATCACACAATCAAGGTTCTCAACCGCAAAGCCAGAGCATACTTATGGACCGGCGATCCTAACAAAGAGAACTGCATACCGAAAATAGCCTGGCACTAAATTACGAGGAAACCAGCCGAAGGAGGACTAGGCATCATTGACCCCAAACAAGAAACAAAAGGCCCTACAAGTTAAATGGATTGTTAAGCTCCTCACCAGACCTGGCATAGCATGGAACAAACTGGCTTTGGACAGTATCAGGAATTTAGCTCCTGTAGACACCCCAGCGAACATGTCAGGTCTTTTCTGGGTAATGAACAAAGAATGGAGCCCAAATACAGGTCGAAGGAATCAACGAAAAGGGAGTGGGGTAAATGAAGACAGACCCCGCACATCCTAATGGACCGCCCTGCTACGGATATGGTGGGAAATCATGCTGAAAAAAGTGGGCAGACTCAAGTCCAAAGAAGAGGTGTTGAGACAACCCCTATTCGGTAATCCTTGGGTGAAGGACGCGAGTGACCACCCGCTAACCCTTAAGCCTAGAGGAAGGAGATGGCTATCTTGGATAACGCATGGAGTTTGGAAAGTCTGCCACATATGGGATGAGGAGAAAAAAGACTGGGTGACAGAACAGGAACTCGCCTGTCAGCTCAAGGGATGTCACTGACGGGATGAGAACCTGCAAATGGTCATACGCTACATTTCAGATGGATGGAAAGAATTACTGAGCGAAACCACAACATGGAAACCAGGAGAATGGGGGGCCTTGGTACAGGAAGCATGTCCTTCAAGGGCCTACCAATCTCCCATAAACAGCAGAGTTCGGACACTCTGGCTGTATTCACCTCTTTTCGCATTATTCATTCGACTCAAGGGCTTTCATCTATCTTGAATGATGAGGTAGAAAGAGTAGTTCTAAACAACTTCGTGCTTAGGAAAGTGAGAGCATTGGGGCAATGGCCAAAATTGATCTTCAGAATGGATACGGCAATTCAGGTCTTGGAATTCGACCCAGCAGAATGGGCCTGGATGCCAGGAAGAAGCAAAAACCTAAGAACCAATACACCCATCCAGGATTACACAGTTACAATCTCCTAAATAAAACCAAGGACCCGGATCCCACAATAGATGGACGAAGTTATCGCAGATACTGTGGAAGAAATTCAAATCAATCCGACCGGTCAAAATTACAAGCCTTCAATGGCTCATCTCATACGTAGCATTACCGGTCAACCAATGGCTGCACATCAGAAGCAGACACAATGACCCTAATAGCTCTGACGTATGTTTAGTATGATCGGAAGATGAACCTGAAGACATGATACACTGCCTAATAAGGTGCAGAGAAGCGACGGGTATTGGGCCAGAGCGTCAGACCTCTGGGCATCCCTTTTTCCAACTCCCCTTCCCGAACACCCCATCCAACTCCTCCTTTGGGCTAACATTCCAGTTCAGCTTCACAAGTCCGAAAAGATATGGTTTGGGATGATCAGAAAAGTAACACTCTGGTCTATATGGAAGGAAAGGTGCAGCAGAACCATCAAAGGGCTATCAACACCAAGGGAGAAAGTTTGGGCGGAGACGAGGACACTAATCCAGGCAGGGATCTTATGCAAGTGGCAGAAGACAAGACAATCCATGATGGATGAGGCAGACCAGCAGCAGAAAACTGTGAAGAAGTTTACAAAGACATGGCTAGCAGGCGGCAAGGTAGCAGAAATAAAGGACTTTCGCATATGTTGGAAGGACTGGCACAACTCAGAAGTGGGCCTAAGAAGACAGAGAATCCAGCAAGCTCCAGCGCAGGCCACACAAGTATCTAGCATAAGGCCATGCAACTGGACATGAGTGGTTCAAGTGTGGCTTGTGGAAGCAACACGTCTATTCCACACACCTACAGGTTCTGGTTCAAATAGTTACTGTCTTAGCCCAAATAAAACATCCAGTCATTGAGGCTGTATCTGGATGGGAAGTTTCCCCAAAAACAGGCATAGAAGAGCATCCAAGATTCATGCGCTACAGGCGGCATCTGATGTTTCACAGGGAACAGATGGGAAGATATTAATTGTGTTTAGGGTTCAGGGTTGATGCCTTGGACAGAAACAAGACAAGCAGGGGTTAGAATGCTAGGGATTTCACTGTAGCTCAAATGCGGGGTTTGGGGTTTAGACAGAATTGGCAGCAGTGGTAGCTCATCAGACCTTTCTTGCTTTTCATGTTTTATTTGACAGGTTCTTATAGTAATCCTGAGAGGAAAGGTGGAAGCAGGGCAAGCTGACAGTCAATCCTCCACGAGGTTGGAGCAATCAATGCCGATCAGGATTCCTTCGGCCAGACGGAAGGAAGCGTGAGGGTGTCCTATGATGTAATTACTTTTCCTGACTTGCCAGTGGAATAGGAAAAAAGAAAAAAGAAAAAAAAAAGAAAAAAGAAAAGAAAAGCAGCCCGAGTTAATGCTATCAGTGCTGGTAAAAGCAGGCATCACTAGCACCCTCGGGGAGGCTTCATCTATTGGTGGGGAGCAGCACCTGCTGGAAAGTGGGTCCAGCATCCCTTAACATTTGGATTGTTGAATAGAACAGACATTTGACTGGGACGACAATTGATTCTAAAAAATAATAATAATAAAAAATGGTAGCAATTTCAGAGGGGCCTTGGAACATGCCGCATCCAATATGGGCACTTCGCCATCCGTACCACAATATGTGCAGTATGATCAGTCATTAACGTCACCCAATCTCAATCATGAAGTTGCGTGGCAAGGTGCCTGAATCATGCAACCACTGCCAGACACTTTATGGCACACCATATGAACTCCAGAGAACTCAGTCCCCCATGATAGTGGAACGTCGCAGGTCCATTTCAAGTCCCTATGACAGTATGCAAATCTTATTTGTGCCTTAACTTCTGATTGCTAGTGCCTCAAATGACAAGCACACAAAAGACGTAAAGAAACCACTGCTTTGAAGACCATCCTTTCCAAGCCGGCTGGCGTGGACGGCCTCAGCGTGGGTCCTTGAGGGAAGCTGGAAGAAAATTGGAGTGTCGCATGTTGCCTGGGGGAGTATATATCCCTGCAGTGTTGTACATACCAGCCATGACGTCATCCGCACTTCAGTCCGAGATGACAACCTAAGGGAGTCAGTGATTGTTTTCCGCAGTGCTGGCAATCAGTTGACGTCCACCACAGTCGTTTCTACTAGCCTTCTACTACAACTGGCCAAAGGAACTGTTCTCGCTCTATTTGCTGCATGTTTTCTTCACGGCAGGCCTAGAAGCCATAGACAGTCAGCATATTGTGGCCAGATTCCATGGCAGTCCTCAGGAGGCAAGCCACTGGCCAGGCCAGATTGGCAGGACCAGCTAGAGGATGCGTTGGAGTGATTCTGCTTGCTTTGGTCATTCAGTCTCTTGCAATCCGTACTGGCGAGGGTGAATCTGTGTCCAAGACAGCTACGGCTCAGACTCCAGAAACAAAGATTGACACCAGCAGCAGACATCTCGGAGACAATGACAAGACATACGATGACAAGAACTACGATGAAAAGAAGAACGGTATGAAGAAGCAGGATGAGAAGAAGTACGACAACGAGTTCGACAATAAGTACGACAAGAAGTATGACAAGAAGTATGATGACAAGAAGTACGATGAGAAGTACGATGAGAAGTACGATGAGAAGTACGATGAGAAGTACGATGAGAAGTACGATGAGAAGAAGAACGGCATGAAGAAGCAGGATGAGAAGAAGTATGACAATGAGTACGACAATAAGTACGACAATAAGTATGACAATAAGTACGACAATAAGTACGACAAGAAGTACGACAAGAAGTACGACAAGAAGTATGATGACAATAAATATGACAATAAGTATGACGACAAGAAGTATAATGAGAAGAAATACAATGAGAAGAAGTCTGGTGAGAAGAAGTATGACATGAAGCACGATGAGAAGTACAAAAATGATTACGAAAACGACTACGATGCTAACTTCGACTGTCAGAAGTACTTTGATGATTACCACAAATATATGTACGGCAATAAGTACGGTAACAAGTACAACAACGACTATGAGAACTACGGCATGAAGTATGGCAATAAGTATGACAACTACGGCATGTACGGCAACAAGTAC